TGGGTGAGCATCTAACGGAGAAGGGAAGAGAGTTCCACAGGAACGGTGCAGCCCTCAAGAAATCTTGAAGTCGAGCATCAGAGGTGGGAGTACGGATAGAAGATAGACGTAAGTCTTCAGCAGATCGTAAGGGCCTAGACAGGACATACTTGTGTATAAGGGAGGATAGATAGGTGGAAGCAGCATTATGTAGCGATTTGAAAGCAAGAACCAGAATTTTAAATTGAGCTCTATATTTTATAGGAAGCCAATGTAGGGACTGACAGAAGGGTGAGGCATGGGAGGTGCGGGCGGACAGGAAGATGAGCCTCGCTGCTGCATTCATTATGGACTGTAACGGCACAAGTTGGGAGCACGTAAGACCACTGAGAAGCGGATTACAGTAGTCAAGGCGAGAAAGGACAGTGGAATGGACCAACACCTTAGTCGCATCTGGCGTTAAGTAGGGGCGGATGCGCGCAATGTTTTTGAGATGGAAATGACAGGATTGGCGATAGATTGAACATGAGGCTTGAAGGAGAGGTCGGAGTCAAAGAGAACACCTAGGCTGTGAGCCTGCGTGGTGGAGCTGATGGTAGCACCGTTGACTTGGAGGGAGGGAGACACAGGAGTAACAACACTAGAGGGAGGAAAGACCAGAATTTCAGTTTTGGTCGAGTTTAGTTTAAAGAAGTGGGCAGCCATCCAGTTAGAAATAGCAGAGAGGCAGTCAGAGACACTAGTCAAGAGTTACGGGGTGTCAGAGTATTTATATCGGCAGACATTTTGTGCTATGATAGAAACTAAAAGTGTATATTCTGAGTCACTCTGAACAGACCAGACTCCATTTTGTTATTTCAAATAACAAAGAAGACACTAGATTTCTTTCTGTAAGACTGGCCTCTTTGCCAGAGCTAAGGAATGTATAGCATAGTATAAACAAGTGATAAGAAGAATATAATCAAATCTAAACCCAGACAATTGTGACAGAGAAGATTAAATAATAAAATGTAACTGTCTATATACATATAAGGTACCATTGTATGGAAAAGGGTAAACTTAGTTCATGATCTGTCATATCAGAAATTATGGCAGGAATTGCAGACGCTAAGTCTGGACAAAACTTTAAGAAACCCTTTGAAATCTGAATTATGACCACTATCTAGATAGGCCAAAATGACGTCAAAATAGCCACCAGGAAAAGTTAACTCTTTCCTGGATAGGTATGTTTAGTGGGACAAGAATGCCCTCTATAGACCAAATACCTAATTTGCGATCTGGAAGATAACCACACCTCTAGTGCTTCTATTGGGTTATCAACTGATGACGTACAGAGAGTCTGGCCCTTTAAAAGTTAAGACAAAGGGAAGATAGGGAGATAGGAGGCAGATGCAGGACATATGCAAAGGAGAGGAGAGAGGAATTGGAAGTTTGGGGACTCCAACTCGGACAACATCTGAGACTAATACTCTACTCCTAAAACTCTAACACTTAGAATTTACTGACTTTCACCAACACCTCCATGCAGAGAGACATCCAAATAAGTTCCTGAGACTGTTTACCAATCGGATGAAATATCTACTCAACTGGTAATTATACTGGTTTCATTTAATTAATTAAATTAATTAAAATGTATTAATAGCATTATATATGACTGGATAAAGCACGGTCAGATTTCCATATTAAGAAATCTTAGTTAACTAAGAATATATAGTTATAAACATTCCATTCTGCAGGTGGAATTAAGAATAATTATATATTGATGTGATATTATCACGTGTTAGCATACCGCTGTTTTTATCCAGGTGTATTGATTTGCTCTAATTTAAGATAGATATCTTTTAGACAAATTAAAAATCTGCTTATATAATATATTAGATTCTCTTATTGGATGATTTTCAGGAAATGACTAATGAACTGGATTAAATGTTATTTTATTTAAAATGACATCAGAATAGATCTTAACTACCTAGGAGATCTAGCCAGCATTGAAAGGGTTATTCTAACTGTCTGCTAAACTTTACGACCTTACGCTGCACTCTGAGGAATTCTGTTCTTCGCTGTGAAAAGTTTCACTTAAGTCTGTGTTAAGGATACCTCATAAATCGTCAGAATTCTTGACAGAAAATGCTAGTTAGTCATTGAAACATAATACCCATTCCTTTGTATTGCATACCATTTTATACTGGATATTCATTGATTATTGTCATGCATGTTACATAATATTATTTGTTAATTATTGGTTATCATAAATAAAATCTATTTTTATACATTGTGATTATTTATATGAAATACTTTCCACTTAACACGATAAACGTTCTTTGGGATCTGAGAATTGAATTAGTGGGCAATTCTCAACTGTTTACTATTATTATCCCATAAATATCCCCACATATTGGAGGCACGGTGCTGAGATCGTTTAAGTTGAAATTGTATTTCATATATAATAATAATATTGGTGTAATTCATGCAATTTAATCTTGATATAGAAAAGAGTTTTGTATTGAGATTAAATCACTGTATAGAAATATGGCTGAATCCAGCAATACGTCTGTAACAGATAATACTGAAATAATTGAAGACCTAAGAAAACATGTTCTAGTTCATATTCATAAACATATGAAAAATGATGCAACCTATGAGGTTTGGTTGAAAAGCATAGAATGGGAAGCTAAACACACCATTCTAACTGATGAACACATCATCATATATCTTAAAGAAATTGCTGAACAAAAGAACATAGAAAGGAAAATGGCGTTCATAATACACTCTTGGCCTTTCTTTATGACAGCACTTCTTAAGGTGTGTGATGAAAACAAGTCACTGAATGCCAAATTGGACACGTACAGTGACGATCTGGGCATTCAAAATGGGAGATACCAAGATTTACTTGCTGAGCATAAAACTCGTCAGGCTGATCATGAAAAAGAAATGAAAGCTTTGACGGATAAATGTGCACAGGAAATAAATCAGCTTAAAATGCAATTGGATGAATATGAAAAGGAGAGTCAGAAATTAGACAGTGAGGTTGGTAGTAATCATTCTGTGCCAAAAAGTTGCACAAAAATGCAAGAAAAGACTATTTGTAAATCCCCTCCTTATTATGATTTTCCCACACCAAACCAGGTTTTCATAAAACAGTCTGTAAGAAAAGATGTGAGTAATTCTAAAAAATCACCTGTGGAACAAGATTCCCCATCTCATGACATTACCAAGCCACCTTGGAAATCTTGGGCAGAACAGTTTGAAAAAGCTGTCTTGGCCAAACTTGAGAGGGAGAGTCCAATTCAAGATGATAGGAATGAAAACAGACATGGTTCTGTACACTGGCAGGATTCTGATGCTGATCAGAATTGTGACAGTGAACAAGAAGCTCAGAGTGATGGGAGTGAAAGTGATTGCACTGTCCACTCTGAAGGCCATGTAACTGATATGCCATCTGCACTGTTGTACGGGTCTAATTCCTCTTCAGCAGACAGATCGCATAGACGTTTACCCAAACACAGAAACAGAGGTCGTAAATCAACGACGCCTGTTTATGAAACGCCAAAGGTCATCAAATTCCTTAGAGAGACTGTCCCACAATTTTCTAGAGGTTCAGGAAACATATCTGAACATCTGGAAAATTATGATAGAGCAATGAATTCATTGGGCATGTATGATGACATTCATAAGAAATGGTTCATTACATGGACCTTTGATTCAATGTGTCGTGTTTATCTAGAAAGTCTTCAAGCTATACAGTTAATGTCCTGGTCCAAGATGAAATATGAAATAATCATGGAATATGGTAAGTATAAAACCATTGCTTCTGCAAAGAAGGCGCTTTATAACTTAAAGTGCCGTCCAGATCAAAGCCCCAGAGAATTTTTAATAATTCTTAAAAATGCATACTCCGTGGCCCAAAGAAAACCCAGGTATGAAAGCACAGACTTCAAAGATCTGTATTTTCATGCCATGCCAGTAAACATACAAATGAATCTCGCAAGAGATTACGATTGTAAGTTACCATTAGAATGGCTAGTCAGTCAGTGTATGAAATTGTACACTATACACCATGCACATGACGAAAATCAGCCAAAGGTTAAGAAACCTGGTGATAAAATGGTGTCAGAGACTAAAACTCAGTTAGGTTTAGAAACCCAACAGAAAAAGAGGACCTATTCCGAGGTGTTGAAAACACCAAAACCTCAGAAACAGGAAAACGCAGGAAGCAATTCTGCAAATTCCTCTAATAACTCTGAAAAATCCAATGCCAATGGGAATAAACGCCCCTGGGTTAATAAGAACCAAGGCAATTCCCAATGGAGAAGGAATCCTCAGGGAAATAGGAGATATGGAAACAGAAATAACCAATCTGCTTCCAATAACTCCCAACAGTCTCAGCCATCCCAGCCAAATTCTAATGGGCAAAGACAAAACGGCAATGGGGGAAATAATTTGCGTCGTCAGGTTGGTCAATTGACAGACCAGATGGGCAAATTAATGGAGGGAATGACAAAGATTAACGAAGTCTTTGCCAGAAATCCTTTTTTAGGGATAGCTCCAATTGCAGAACTACCTGTGCAACCGCAGCAACAACAACAGGTGCCGCAGCAATAATAGCTACTGTGACTAAACAGGCTAGGTTATCAGTAGATGTAATGCCTAACCCTGTTTCCTTTCCAGGTACTAACAGTCAAATAAACAATAGTTGTGTTAGAAAACCTATTGCCTATACCGTCACTTCACTTCCGGGTGAAGGAGGCGCAACGTGTTCCTCTGTTTTTTCATTTCAGCCAAAGGCTAAAGAAGCCCCAGCAACCACTGGTTTCCAGGATCCAGACCTGAAAGGGTTAACTGATGAGATGCCGACCACTAGTTCCCGCTTGACAGTTCAAGATATTCCTAAAAAGGATGGGCCTGTGGGTAAGACTGAGCATTCCTCAGTACAGGTAGAAACTACTGCTGTGACTGGTAATGTATGGAAAACGAGTGATATGTTGACACATTCTAACTTCTTATGTGAATTAGAAGAACATGAAGGAAGGTACTACATGTCTGTAGAAATACAGGATTCGTTACCCCAGCCTTTTAAAGGGTTAATAGATACTGGTTCACAAGCCACTATCTTATCCAATACCTACTTCCAGCAGGTAATGGACTTAGCAACGGATAAGCCGAAGCTAAGAGGTTTCCCCAATGCTCTGTTGAGTGTAGGAGGAAATGCCCTTCATGTTATTGGCAATACCTGGTTAAAGTTTAAAATAGGTAACAAAACCTTTAGACACCCGGTGATAGTGGTAGATCTCCCCTATGACCGACTGATTCTGGGTATAGACATACTCAGAAGACTTAACACAATTATTGACTGTGTAAATGGAATTGTATGGTCACAAGCTAAGGTTCCTATAACCTATGAGAAATCACATGTACAATCTGATCGTAACTGCCATGTGATAGAAGAAAGACCTGACTCAATTGAGGTACATTTTAGGAATAGTCAGTCACCTGACGTGACTATCCTGCAGGTGAATGATGCAATCGCACCTGTAGATGAGCATTCCATAAGAATTGCTCCAGAGAGGATCCAGAATGTCTCTCTGGAAGGTGATGTTTTAACCATTTCTCTCCACAGGGACTATGTTGAATCTGTAGATCTGGCAGGTCATGCTCAATTCCTTGCCAGAATTGAAAGGGTTAATAACAACCTATTCTTTCCTATTCAAATAAATGACTTAGGAAGAAGTAGGAATGCAAAGCTGGACTTAAAGAGTGAGAACAGCTATATTAGCAGAAGTCTGTTAAAGCAGATCGCTAATCCTAAAATGATCAGGTACGCTTCCCCACATGACAGGTGGATCCAGAATCTGGATGGCGAATCAGAGAGTCACAATGTGATAGCAAAATGTTTACTATCTATTTCCATCGGAAATAAGACAGTTAAACATTTATTCTAGTGATAAATGAACCTCGCTATCAGGTTTACGTTGGCAATGATGTCATACATCGCTTTGCCATACACCTTGACCTGATTAATTCCAACTTGTGGACAAGGTTAAAAGGTAATCCTTGTGGATACCTACACGAGGAAAACGCCCTGAAATCAGGACAAATACTCCCATATGCGGTAAGTATCCAAGTTCCTGATGACATAACCATTCCACAGGGGACAAGTAATTTTCTTTTACCCCTACAGGTCAAGGAGGGTCAGAGATTGGAAAACTCTGATGCCCTAATCTGTTTATCCAACAGGATACAACAATTAGGGATGGTGGTAACACATACACCAATGGTAAGTATTGGTAAGAATCCCACCTATATAATGGTCAACAATGTTACACCCAATAGTGTTACTTTACCAAAAGGAACATTATTAGGTCTAGCATTGGATGCTGAGTACTATACATTTGGTTTCCAAAACCAAATTATAGGCCTCATCCCTGAAGAATACTTAACTGAGGATGAAATTGTCGATCAAATATTCCATTCCTCCCCAGAAGGATTATTCACTATCCTATCTGTATATCCCTTCAACGTTGAAGAAGGCTCGTGTAAAATCGAAGAAGCATCTATCACCTTCGATCATCCGCTCAATGAGCAGGAATCACAAGAGTATCTCGACCAAAGAGAAAAGGTAAGTCAACACCGAACTGACCTAACTTCTAGGCTTGAAGAAGCTTATGAGATAGGCCAGCCTGAAATCTTTCCAGGATTTCAGGAAAGGCTAGAAGAGCAAATATCTTTAGCTGACGGTTGCTCCAACGATGCTGAGCGGCAACAGCTAAAGGAAATCCTAATGGAATTCCAAGATATTTTTGCCAAAGATTCCTACGACTGTGGGTTAACTAACCTCCACGTAGCCAGAATACAAACTGATCCAAATTTACCACCTGTATTTATCAAACAATATAGACTCCCATTAGCGTCATATGATGGTCTACAAGACATCATTCAGAATTTAAAGGAAAGGGGCATTATACGTCCAGTGCACAGTTCGTATAATAATCCAATCTTGGGGATTCTGAAACCTAATGGACAATGGCGTTTATGCGCTGACTTACGACAGCTAAATAAACGCGTCTATATGTCTGGTTGGCCAACGCCATACATAGACCAATGTTTGGTACAAATGCAGGATCCAAAATATTCACTGCCATTGACTGTGCGCAGGGATATTGGACTGTACCAGTCCATAATGAAGACCAATACAAATTGGCCTTCACATTTGGAAAGCAGCAGTATACCTGGACCCGTATGCCTTTCGGTTACATAAACTCTGGTCATGAATTCGCTGTGTTCATGCATAAAGCTATGCCTGACGCACTCGAGAGAGGAACGTTATCATATGTCGACGATGTCTTGCTGAAAAGCACTTCCTTTGATAAGCATATATTAGAGATTAGACATGTTCTCACTCAGTTAAGAGAGGCAGGAATTAAACTGTCTTTACAAAAGGCGCAATGGTGTCGCACCCATGTCAATTTCCTCGGACATGAGGTAACTTCTGAAGGATTAAATCCCCAGAGGAAGAAGGTTGAAGCCGTACTAAAGGCTAAAACACCTTCAAACATCAGGGAATTAAGATCGTTCCTTGGTATGACTAACTACTCCCGTAAGTTTATAGATAACTATGCAGAAATAACTAAACCACTCTTACACCTGCTTAAAAAGGAAACTACCTGGAACTGGGGGGAGCCTCAGGACCAAGCGGTAAGTGAACTGAGGAGGAAGCTCACTCAGGCACCCTGTTTAGCATACCCAGAGGGGGGTAAACCCTTCTATCTGGAGACAGGATATACCGATTTAAGCATAAGTGCTGTTCTGTATCAGAAGCAGGACAGTTTAAACAAAGTTATTGCATATGCTAGCAAGACTTTGTCACCTGTTGAAGTTAAATTCAACACGTGTGAGAAGGCGTTATTGTCGACTGTCTGGGCACTACAAAATTTTCGTAGCTATATCCAAGGTGAGAAAATAATTGTAGAAACAGCTCACCAACCTCTACAGTATCTGCAGAGTGAAAGAATTAGAGACGGTAATCTCTCTAACAGTCGGATTACTGCATGGACTCTATCCTTACAGGGATGGCCGTTAGAAGTCCGTTATAAACATAATAAGAGAAGCCCAGTTGCCCAAGGTTTAGCAGAATTACATGACTGTACTGCTCCATCTCTGGATGATAATGACACCGGAGATGACTTCCTAGAAGAGCAATTGCTATCTCCTTATAAAGTTTATGACGAGGAATACTGTCGACCACTACCGTGGGTATACATTGATGGTTGTTCATATCACCACGTCGTTGGTGCTGAACGGAAGTTAGTTGCAGGTATCGGAATCGCCTGGACAGGTGATTATCCCAATGTATCTATAGGATACAATATTGGTCCCAAAAGCAGTCAGATAGCCGAACTCTGTGCAGTATATAAGACCATTCAAATGGCAATAGAATATGGTATCAAAGAATTTGTTATTATAACTGATTCCAACTATGTTCGCAACAGTTTCGTCGAATATCTGCCTAGCTGGAAACGTAACCAAATGCTGAAAAGCAATAACAAACCTGTTAAACATGGGAAATTGTTTTGTAAAATTGATGAACTGGTTAAGGAAAATGGTTTAACCATATATTGGAAGAAAACCAAAGGCCATTCTAAAATAGAAGGTATTGACAAGGATGGTAATGACTTAGCCGATTCACTGGCAAAACAAGCTGCCATCAATGGTGAAACCCTAAACATTGATGATCTTATGGGTTCAATTCATGTTGAAGCCATAACTAGACGACAGGCTAGAGATAATGCCGACTTAAATGTCGTGCAATGGAGTCAAGAAGCTCCTAGTGAGGACCTGATTACTAGTCAAAAGAATGATCCCGTCATAGGCATATTCTATAAACATATAGAAGACCCTACTGCCAATCCCATCACAGATGAGGATTGCAAAGATAATGAAGATTTACGAATCTTGATGAGATATAAAGTCCAATTTAGTATCATGGATGGGTTACTGGTCAGAACTTCTAAACATGGTATACAACAATGGGTAGTCCCAACTGTATACAGAGGGTTAATGCTCCAACACGCACATGATGCACCTACATCTGGGCATCGTGGTGATAAGATCACATATGAGATATTGCGTGATTATGCATATTGGCCACACATGTTAAGGGATGTTAAGACATACTGTCAGGGATGCTTGATTTGTCCGCAATATCAACCCCATGGTCCAACCCATCGTGCACCACTTCAGAAGAGGGGGGTGTCATTACCCTGGTCTGATATTCAAATTGACTTTATAGGTCCTGTAACAAGATCTTCAAGAGGTAACAAATACATGTTAACCGTTACATGTATGTACACAAAGTGGATAGAATGTTTGCCTTGTAAAGAGAACACGAGTACCGTGTGCGCCACTTTGTTGATTAACCATGTCTTTTCCAGGTTCGGTCTGCCTCAAAGAATTGAGTCAGACAGAGGTAGTCATTTTACCAGCGAAGTAATGGCTAAGATGTGGAACATTCTAGGTGTTAAACGAAAGCTACATATTGCATACCGCGCTGCGTCTAGCGGGGGGGTAGAGCGATATAACCAGTCTATCGTTAATATTCTGAAGAAATATGTTAAGGAGTCTGGTAAAGACTGGGACATTAAATTGCCCCTAGTTTTAATGGCGATTAGAGCCACACCTAGCACTGCTACCAAATTGTCACCTTTTGAATTGATGACAGGAAGAAAGATGGTTTTACCACAGCATTTACTATATCGTACTTCGGATCATAACTTGATCAATGCTGCCACTACGCATCAGTATATCGAAGATTTGCGCAAGCATTTACAGCATGCATTTGCTTTTGCCCAAAAGAATCTAGAAAAAGCAGCGACAGGGGTTAAGACCTATTACGATCTAAAAACCACGAAAAAGGAATATGAGATAACAGATCAAGTCTATCTGTATAACTTTGCGCGAAATCAAGTCAAGGAAAATAAATTTTTACCTTCTTGGAAAGGGCCATATGTCATCATTGACAAAATTTCCCCAGTAGCGTACAAGATAAAAATTCCTAAGGATGGTGATTTTATTGAAAAGTGGGTTCACATTAACCAGTTGCGTGCTTGTCATCCTAAATCTCAATTAAGGATTATAGGTGTGGATTCAGACACAGAAGGGTGAACGACTAACCTGGATGAATGCTTGATTCACGTGGTATAGTATGATGTGAAATGTTGTGATGTGCCATGATCTCATGTACGTTCATGTCATTAACCATTTCCTTGCCATCCAATAACTACATTTTCTAAGCAGGTTACCAGCTTGTTTAACTGCTATAGGCATATTGCTGAAGAGTCAGTAATAAATGTAGTGAGGGATGAAGTTATAAAAATAGAATTAGAGAGAATACATATGTTGATGAATCGTAATAATGTGTTGTCCTAGGCCAAGTGATGTCACACTGTTATAAGTTTGTATGCTTAACAAACCTTGAATCATTAGTAGATAAGTCTGAAACGAGTTCCTGATCCGTGACTGTCGAAAGATGTCCAAGAAGGATGTGGCGTGTTTCTGGATCGTACTGCTCCTGTGCCAAGAGCTACGGACCGACCCGATCGCAGAGATGGGACCATCCTCCGGCATCCTGATTCAAGAGACACCAGGGTTCATCTTAACAGAGAAGAGGATCCTGACCCGACGTGTGTTCGTCAGCTTGGACCCCAAGATTTCCATCGAGAAGGCATACAACATTTCATCGATGCAGCTTCCTGAGTTACAGACTTGGTACCAGATGCACCTCCAAAGAGCACAGGACCATGTGCGAAACATCTTGGAGCAAGCCCGGAAACCATTTGTATCCAGTTCTATTCCGATGAGCAACCGACCCAAAAGGTTCCTCACCGCTATAATTGTTGCATTAGTTTGTGCCACTGTCGGTGCAGTTGTCGCAACTGGAATGTCTGCAGCCAACTCTATTACTGTCCAAAAGCTGGATATGGAAATCTATGCGCTAAAGCAACACATTAACGATATTCATCAGGTGATACAACAGCAAAGAACACTTCTCCAAGACGTGTTAACTATTGTGGAAGACACAGTTGTTACAACAAATTTGCATTCGGAGTTAATTGCCAAATCCACTGAGTTGCACCAAAGTCATGACTTATTTAAGCGTGAACTTCTATTTCTGCATGACCCAATATTGTTCCACACACTTGCTTTTCTTGACGAAGTGCAAACTGGAATGATCGAATTGGCAGGGGGACGCATACCTCTGTACTTTGTATCCAAGGATATTGTTCATGCGATGCTTGCCAATGTGGATGGAGAGACAATTGAGCCTATGCAATTAAATCTGGCCTTTGAGATGGGGAGCACTATACCTCTCTTAATTAATCCGGAACGTATGGAGATTTGCTTTTTATTGACCATACCATATGTAACTCCCAAAGACATTTTTCAAATGAAAACAATGTACTATGTAATAATGATATTATGGTTGATTGTACTAAGTGTAAAGTTCAAAACTCTTACAGGTACAAATATATACAAAAATGTTCATTCCATGCACGGGCCTATGTTAGAAATGATGTGATTGCACAATATGTCTGGTAACTTCTATAGTGCTTATTCATAAGCTAAATTAATTTTGGCTATGAAATGCACTAAAGGGGGGTTATGTCAGAGTATTTATATCGGCAGACATTTTGTGCTATGATAGAAACTAAAAGTGTATATTCTGAGTCACTCTGAACAGACCAGACTCCATTTTGTTATTCCAAGTTAACAAAAAAAGACACAAGATTTCTTTCTGTAAGACTAGCCACTTTGTCAGAGCTAAAAGGAATGCATAGTATAAACAAGTGATAAGAAGAATATAATCAATTCTAAACCCAGACAATTGTGACAGAGAAGATTAAATAATAAAATTTAACTGTCTATACATATAAGGTCCCATTGTAAGTTACGGGTCAAAACTCAGATTTGCCAGACACATAGTCTGGACAAAATTTAAGAAACCCTTTGAAATTTTAAATTATGGCACTATAAAGATAACGCAAAATGACGTCAAAATAGCCACCAGGAAAAGTTAACTCTTTCCTGGATAGGTATGTTTAGTGGGACAAGACTGCCCTCTATAGATCAAATAACTAAATTGCGATCTGGAAGATAACCACACCTCTAGTGCTTCTATTGGGTTATCAACTGATGACGTACAGAGAGTCTGGCCCTTTAAAAGTTAAGACAAAGGGAAGATAGAGATATGCAGGGTATGCAAGAGATGCAAAGGAGAAAGGAAAAGAGGAGAGAGGAATTGGAAGTTTGGGGACTCCAACCTCCATGCAGAGAGACATCCAAATAAGTTCCTGAGACTACCAATCGGATGAAATATCTACTCAACTGGTAATTATACTGGTTTCATTTAATTAATTAAATTAATTAAAATTTATTAATAGCATTATATATGACTGGATAAAGCACGGTCAGATTTCCATATTAAGTAATCTTAGTTAACTAAAGAATATATAGTTATAAACATTCCATTCTGCAGGTGGAATTAAGAATAATTATATATTGATGTGATATTATCACATGTTAGCATACCGTTGTTTTTATCCAGGTGTATTGATTTGCTCTAAATTAAGATAAGATATCTTTTAGACAAATTAAAAACAAACTCTGCTCATAAAATATGGTAGATTCTCTTATTGGATGGTTCCAGGAAATGACTAATGAATTAGTTTAAATGTTATTTTATTTAAAATTACATAAGAATAGATCTTAACTATTTAGGAGATCTAGCCAGCATTGAAAGGGTTATTCTAACTGTCAGCTAAACTTTACGACCTTACGCTGCACTCTGAGGAATTCTGTTCTTCGCTGTGAAAAGTTTCACTTTAAGTCTGTGTTAAAGATAGTCATAAATAAAGTCGACAGAAAATGCTAGTTAGCCATTGAAACGTAATACCCATTCCTTTGTATTGCATACCATTTTATACTGGATATTCATTGATTTTATTAAAGACACGGAGGCTCCTATTATGCTTCTCTTTCTTTAATTTCCCTCAGCAGCGAAGAGAGATATATGCAAAGAAGCGAGAAAAAATAACATAACATTATCATATTCATAGTGCTACCAAAGGTATCCACCCCCTTTAGTATATAAGGTGTAGCACTCCCTTCCTCTTCCTCTTTCTTCGCTGCTCCCTCAGACCAGCTAAGTACATTTTCTCTGCTCCATTATATTTGATTATTCATTGTGGGATTTTGTGTACTATCCCTACTCAGGGATTTTTATTGTTGTTATTGCTCCCATTAGCCTTTTATTATCTGGGTTTCTGTCCCTGTGTGCATTTATGTGATTTCCTTTTTCATAATTGTCTACCCCACCTTGCCTTGCTAGGCAGGTTGGTCTTTACCCTCTCCCCACCTCTGGGTGGAAATTTTTTCTCCCTAATTCTCTTGCCTGTGCCAACCTCTCTATTAGCCAGGAATCCGCAGCGAGGGCTTACCAGAGTGCTACCTCGCTCGGTTCCCGGCTCCCTGCTTGTATACGCCGCCGGCTCTGCTCAGCCGCGCGGCGGTTTTTTGCTTTCGTTTATGCCGATCGCGGGCGCCGCGCATGCGCGGTACGCTCGCGGCGGCCATTTTGTTGTTTTTTTCTGTCGCCGGCCCTGCCGGCGGCCATTTTAACTAGTTTTTCCGCGGTACCGGAATTCTCTTGACCAGCACGCTTCGTTGCTCCTCTGCTTACTTCAGACGGGGTAATCTGTGACCAGTCCTCTCTGGCCTACTGCCTTATCTCTCCTGTATTGGGTTAATCAACCCTGCCTGTCACTTTTTCTTGTTTTTTTCCTCACTTGCACTCTCTGTCTCCACCATGCAGTCTGCTGGTGATGCTACCCCTAGCCACCTTAGTCCTTCTGGGCGCACATCTGGCCCTGACCCACAGGCTGACCCTGGCCTCATGGGCTCGGAGGACTTCCAGAGCCTATTGGACGCCACTATGTCCAGCTCTATCACCAAGGCCATTTCATCAGCCATGGGGGCCATGTCCTCGACCATTTCCCAATCTATTACCCAGGCTCTCCGACAGGCCCATCCTCTCACTGCCCCTGCGGTACCGCAGGCAGCCCCTGAAGGGGCGTTACTAGGGCGCAAGGCGCTTAGCAAGCGCAAACATCCTCAAGAACCCCCCCCACGCAGGTTCGTCCTGCATTGATTGACACGCCTCAGGCTGTCTGTGATGGCGCGCAACAACCGCGCAGTAGAGCTACTGGCCGGGCTACGGCGGCCAGAGATTGGAAACGGGCGCGGGCCCATGATACCATGTCTGACTCAGACAATGAAGGGGATGAGGGGTCGGATGTCCAATACTCTGATCCTTACGAGGATGAGTTTTCAGAGAGCGAGAGCCTCCAAGGAAAACAGTTCCCGTCAGCGTCAGCTCATGCAGAGACTCAGCTAGAGACGCCCGGGTCTGACGCTACCCACGATGCTAAAGAGGTACTTTCATTTGACCCGGATAACCTAAGACATCCACGCTCCGCTGAATGGGAGCCCCCAGAGCATATCGCTCAGTACCTAGCACTCAGAGTGCGTAAGTCCCTCTCCCAAGAGGGTCGCAATAAATTAAGGGCAGAATGCCCACGTCCCATTGTGCCAGATGCGGTGGCTAAGACCCCTGAAGTGGACCCTCAGATAGTCCAATTCCTGGCTAAAACCGGCTGGAAGCCTAAGAGGGGACTTGACTATTCTCTCCGCAACTGTCAGGACAAGTTCCTGGACACACTGGGCCCGGTCACTAAATTATATGAGCTACTAGAGGCAGCCCAGTCAGGTGAGACTGACCTGGATTTTGAAGTTGCATTTGGCTGGCTTCAACGAATCGTGTGTATGATCGGGAACGCTAACACAGCCATATCTACTGAACGCAGGAAAGCTATCCTGCTCAAGATCGAGCCTAAGCTAGCTAGCATGGCTTCCACTGAACCTGGGGCTTCAGCTAAAGGACTGTTGTTCGGTGAGTCCTTTGTTAAGGATTTGGGCTCATACGTGAAGACCTTCACGGCCCTGGACAAAGCTCAATCGTCCATCAAACGAGTCTTTAGCCAAAAGGTTTTCGGCGGGGCCGGTAGAGGTAGGAGCCGTCTATCCGGCCGCAATTCCCGAGGTTTCTCCAGACCGGGCAGAGGCTCCTCCAACACCCAAAGACCGTATCAGGAGCGTGCCTATACACCATTCTTCCCCACTCGAGGAAGACCTTGGCATGCCCGCGGCGGCAGAGGAACACCCCCAGGAAAACGCCCTTATGGTAAGTGCTATTTTTCCCCATTTTTCACATATAAATGTGGGGGGCAGACTGGCGTTGTTCCACCAAGCGTGGCGCTTGATCACATCCGATGTATGGGTGTTACAGACGATAATGGGTTACCACCTAGAATTGACAGATCTTCCCTCTCAGGTCTCCCCACCTCACGTGCCTCATTTACCAAAGTCACACCACGACCTCATAACCGCAGAGATCAAAGTACTGCAGTCCAAAAACGCTATAGAGGAGATCCCTCTACATACACCAGGTTTTGTAAGCAATCTATTCTTAGTGCCGAAAAAAGGAGGGGGGGTCCGTCCGGTTATCAACCTGCGGCCCCTCAATGCCTTCGTCCAGTACAGGCACTTCAAAATGGAGGGCATTCACTGCCTCCGAGATTTGCTCCTCCCGGGAGATTGGATGGTAAAACTCGATTTGCAGGATGCATACCTCACAATACCGATAGCGGCAGATCACAGGGATCTGTTACAATTCCGATGGGAAGCAAGGAAATGGCGTTTCACCTGCCTTCCTTTCGGACTGTCCTCCGCCCCTTGGTGCTTCACCAAGGTACTGAAACCGGTGGTTGCCTTTCTCAGGTTACACGGAGTTCGTCTGATTATATATCTGGACGATATCCTCATACTCTCGAGTACACGCTCACTATTACTAACACACCTGTCATGGACCCTTCACCTCCTCCAAAACCTCGGTTTCCTGGTGAATTGGGAGAAGTCGGTGCTACAACCCTCTCAGCAGATGGAATTCCTAGGATTCCGAGTCGATTCTGTTCAACAAATCCTATGCCTCCCAACAGAAAAGATTTCCATCATCAAAAAGGAAATAAGGCGGTTATTGAACCGGCCGGACATTTCACTGAGACAACTAGCACGGATGATCGGCTTACTAGCTGCCTCCATCCAAGCGATTTTCCCGGGACCATTGCACTACCGGGCGCTTCAACGTCTGAAAGCAACCTGCTTGAGGAACAGTCAGTCATACGAGTCCACCGTCTCCTTAGACGTAGAGTCCAGGGAAGAACTGAAATGGTGGTTGACTCACATGGAAGCGTGGAACGGACGAGCAATCTTCGGTTCCACCCCGGACCTAGTGATAGAGTCGGACGCAAGCTTACATGGCTGGGGCGCGCGTTGCGGCTCTATATCCACAGGAGGCAGATGGTCGGTAGACGAATCATTTCTGCACATAAATTCGCTGGAACTGCTGGCAGCCTCCTTTGCCATCCGCAGCCTCTCACCCAAGGGAATTTCATGCTCGATCCT